ATTAGGTGTGTCCCGCGCGCTCATATGACCTTATGCAGTTGCGAGCGCCGTGAAACACTTCTACTAAAACTAAAATAAAAAAACAAAAGAGGGGACATTAACATGTTCTTATGCACGGTAGAATTGTAAATGTGCTGATTCATCAATGTCATGCTCATAACTGTGCCTCAACTGCAACAGGGGACTGCTGCTTTTTCTTTCCTAATTCTTACTATCGTCATTTTCCTCTACTTCTTTTGCATGTTTGTCACACTTTTGTGACCCGCTATTTCCGGGGTGCCTTGATAGTTGAAACAAACTTTGTGCTATTGAAGCTAGAGAGGTGAGCAGAGTAAGCCTGATTCCCTGTAAAGACTTCTCTGTTGACATCCACCCCTTGGCGCTCATATGACCTTATGCAGTTGTGAGCGCCGTAAAAACTCTACTAAAATTTTTTTAAAAACTTGTTGACTGCTTGTTGGGAAACTCCGCCATACACCATTTTGAAAAGTGACATATGACGGAGTCTAACACTCTGCAGCCAATGTGTATTCTTTGTATTCAAAACACGCACATAGCAAAATTTGTACTTTACCAAAAGATTTCAGCGTTTTTCCGATGCCAAACTATTTGGATTTCTAAAACTAAGGAATGTTCTATCGAGCTGTATATTGTTTCTCCCCCCCCCCCCTTTTTTTGTTATAAAGCTGTACTCCTTCATGAATACTGATAATACCTAAATGCTTTGGGGTTGGGGGTGGAGGCGTTAATGAAATGGTAATACAACAACACAATTGTTTTATGTGTTAGATATTGGTATGTGTTGATTGTTTATTGCTTTTCCTTTATCTTTGTATATCATTCTGTCTGTTTAGATCTCTGTCTCTCTCTCTCTCTCTCTCTCTCTCTCTCTCTCTCTCTCTCTCTCTCTCTCTCTCTCTCTCTCTCTCTCTGTCTGTCTGTCTGTCTGTCTGTCCTCAAGTCTAATTTCATCTCCGCAGAATCATTCCGTGGTCCAACCCCAAGGAAAACCCCAAAAGACGAGGAAGCAGATGATGATGATGACCAGATGGGCATGCCGACGACACAAGGAGCAGCCGTTGCCGAGGGTAAGAGGGCAGCAGCAGCAGCCGTGGCATCTGCTCGGCAGACTTCCTGGCAATCCCAGACATCAGGGGAGGACAACTCTTGGGGAGATTCCCCCGTGGCACAGCGCAAAAACTCCACTCAGAGAGTGTCCTTCAAGAGAGACGAGGAGCTGTCGGAAGTCCACGATATTGTAAGTCGTTGACATTTTAAGTTCATGACTTGTTAGTCCATGATATTATAAATCTACAATAATATAAGTCCACATTATTTTATGTCTACAAAATTCATAACTCCATGATATTGCAAGTCCATGATTTCATCAGGCTATGATGTCATCAGTCCATGGTATCATAAGTCCATGATACCGTAAGTCCATGATAATATAAATCCATGATATCATAGGTCCATGATATTGTAAGACCACAACATCATAAATCTACAATATATTAAGTCCATGGCTTTGATTGGCCTTTGTTGATTGTTTATCATCCTCTGTAAGACCCCCATTGTTTAATGCAAATGCATGGGGTTCAAGTTCCCCAGACTATTTTGTTATAAAGCTGTACTGAACGTACTGAAGAAGTATCCAACAGCAGGCACAAGTATTTGCTCGGTTTGAATGCATTTAATCTTATGTATATATAAAGGTGTCACTTGTATCTTATAAGTATGATCAAACTTGCTCTAATGGCCACCTGTACAAGAAAATCTCCTGTACAAATGTCCATTTTCCATTTTCTGTCTTGCATGTATTTTACATTATTATGACACTGTAAGACGTCCACCTGTCTAAAAAGAGTTGCTTTTGTCTTGGACAATGGATGGCCATCTTATAACAATTTTGACTGTACTCTTTTTTTTCTAATCTTTACTCCAGACTGTGACAGAGTCAGAGGCAGAGTCCGACGTCCATGACCCTGGTGCCAAGCCACAGGTCAAGGTGAGTGCAGTGAGAACAGAAGTGAGATACCACTTTGACTGCTTAGTGTTGGACTCCGCCATACACCATTTTGAAAAGTGACATATGACAGAGTGGTTAATTACCCACTAGGGCGGTGCTACTGACTGAAGTGTCTTTAGACCATTCCCAAAGAGGGGGACATTAACATCTTGAGTTCTTATGCACGGTAGAATTGTAATTGTAAATGTGCTGATTCATCAATGTCATGCTCATAACTGTGCCTCAACTGCAACAGGGGACTGCTGCTTTTTCTTTCCTAATTCTTACTATCGTCATTTTCCTCTACTTCTTTTGCATGTTTGTCACACTTTTGTGACCCGCTATTTCCGGGGTGCCTTGATAGTTGAAACAAACTTTGTGCTATTGAAGCTAGAGAGGTGAGCAGAGTAAGCCTGATTCCCTGTAAAGACTTCTCTGTTGACATCCACCCCTTGGCGCTCATATGACCTTATGCAGTTGTGAGCGCCGTAAAAACTCTACTACAACTAAAACCAAGAAGTAAGATATCACATTGACTGCTTAGTGTAAGACTCCGCCTTACGCCATTTTGAAAAGTGACATAATATGACAGAGTGGTCAACCTAACCATAAAATGAAACCAAGCCATTCTGTGAACAGTCATGAAGACCATCAACTTGTCTGTTTCATATGCTCATATGACCTTATGCAGTTGTGAGCACTGATGTGAAACTCTTACTAAACCAAACAGAAATCTTACTTTGAGCAGTCGATGTGATAAGGTTAAACACAATACAACACGATATGATAAAATATTAACTAAAATAAAAAGATGGAAATAATGCTGTGTGACCATAGCCACCCACTGGCATCGAAATTTCAATTATCGACCAGCAGTAACTGACTTATTTCTAAGAAAGCAAGAACAGACAGAAATAGAAATTCAGTCGTACCAACTGCAGTGAGTTTACTGAACACACAGTGCTACAAATGAAACAGAGAGAGAGAGATTGAGAAGAGAGAACGAGTGCACCTTAACTATGTAACACCACTACCTTTGTAAACGACCCAAAACAAATTTCTCACTGTGAGATAAACAAAGATTTTTTTTGGTCATTGTCAATACGATAATGTTGTTACATCAACAAAAATATTGTACGTTGTGAAAATGTTTTTATACCCCCATCCTTGCATTTTTAAAATCTTTTTCTGAGGTGGGCTGCCAGGGCCTATCCAAGCTGCTTAGAGTACATCTCAGCTGAAAGACAGACAGTCTATACTTTACTTTATTTTTTCATCCTCTGTTGCCGTTAAGCGTCGAGGGGAGATGCAGTTTTCTATGGTAGGCCAGCTCCGCAGCTCTTTCAGTTGGGATGTTATGTTTTCTTAGGGTTTCCTTGACACCCTCGATCCACCTTTTGCGTGGCCTTCCTCTTCCTTTATAGCCTGAGTGCTTGGTGTTGTAGGCTCTTGAGGCTGGCTGGTTAGGTTACATGCGTAACAGGTGGCCAAACCATTTTATCCTCTGTCTTTCTATGTAACGCAGGATGGACTCTGTGCCGATAGCTGCTCTTGCTTCTTCATTTCTCTGCCTGTCTCGTCTTGTGACGGGAAGGGTTTTGCGGAGACATTTAATTTCGCATGCAGTGATTTTACTTTCATGGGTTTTGCTTAAAGTCCAGGTCTGGCACTGATGACATAATGTTGGTATGAATATTGAGGTGATAAGGACAGTTTATTATTATTATTATTGTTGCCGTTATTGTTGTTGTTGTTATTATTATTGTCATTATTATTCTGACTCATTTTTGTGCATATTCATCAGACATCAACCCCAGCCAAGCCAAGTGTCCCGTCTACAGAGTCCGGCTATGTGCCCACAGGGGCAGCTGGTTCAGCAGGCGTTTCTCCATCACATGAAAAGATGAGAGGTAACTTAACCATCATTGCCTAGCCTTCACAAAACTCTTTACAAAACGTAGAACTCGAATCTGGAATGTTGTAGTCTGTGTTTCCTTTCGTGACCATAGATACTGCAATGTGATGGTGCATAAAAATGAAACGGTAATCAGGTGATCGTTGTTATGATATGTCAATGGGAGCTTGTCCTCAAGGTTTTTCTTTTTTTTTTCCACACTCTATCAGAGCTCGCATCCCTGTTTTGTTCATTCAGTCCAGCTTGTAAGTGAGTTAAATGCAGTTGAAGATCTAGTCGTATTTGACAGGATTTGTAACAAAAAACTGATTTTGTTTGTTTAGTTCGCATCCTCCTCGTAGACTTCTGCATGGGCGTGTTCCCCTTTCGTGTTTTTACTGTCCAATCTTTTTATTTGTTGTGATGTTTTGTGGTTTCGCTATTTCCCCCAAAGACCTCTCTAGTTTACAACTTTGAAGTTGAAATGTGTATCTGTGATATCAGCAAAGGCAATGGAGAATTCAGTAGCTATGTCGTGGCTTTGTTGAACAATTAAAAAGAAATTGAAGTGGAGAGAGACTGTAAGTTCTCTTAAAATTGTGTTTAAAAAGTAAGTCAGTCTGGCGAAACGGTCCTCTCTCTGAAAATGAACTGTAGACAAGTTTTAATATAATATGAAGCCCTCAACTATGTAATAAGTGTTTATTAATTTCTAATTTGGCTTCATAGAGTTGGTAGTTCTTTTATAATGTTTTATGAATGGGATGTGACTTTCATTTTTCTGGGCTTAATAAATGTTTTGTCTTAATGTTTTCAAAACTGTCATAGTTAAGATAATTTTCTTTGAAATTATTCCTAAATATGTGAGGTGTGCGCACAAAATGAGTTACTTCTCGGATTTCAGCCTTATGAAAATTGATACATCAACTTGATAGGTGGAGTTTGAACAATTTGTAAGTATGGAGTTATAAAGGAAACGGTAGACCTGAAGAAAATGGGGTCAATTGAAAATTTGTAAATCTGACCCCAGTGTCGATTTTTGGCTGATATCTCCATTCTTGGATTGCGAGAAGTAACTCATTTTGTCAGCACGCCTCACATATGTATTTCTGTTTTGTTAATTTATGGTATGCCATGCTTCTATTTGTGTTTGTTTGCTATTGTGTGACCTGACCTTTATTGAAACTTAAGGGCTTGGCATTTGATGGTTAGCTCTTCTTTGTGCATTTTTCATGTCAAAAGTATGTTTTTGTATATGTGAATTCCCTCTTTCCCCACTCATGATTTGTGCCACTCAGGGGATACTCAAAAGACAGGTATGCATGGTCATGCTGTTGTTATGCTAGAGTGTTTGGAGTGTGGTGTTGGTTGACTGTTTTTCTTTCAGTTTGAATTTCTTATGTTAGCCTGTTACAGTTGCCCCCCCCCCCCTCCTCGCCCCAACACACCCTCATTTTTCTATATGTATTGTAGATTTTTAATCATTTTAGAATTTGTATTAGTTCTTCAGTTCTTCAGTTTCTTGTTTGTGTTTTAGAGCAATTTCATTTTGCCTTCTAAAATAAATTTGGTAATATGGGCCTATCTTTGATAAAGTATAAAACTGCAAAACGGTTTTTATATTCAATTTGTTTTCTTGTAGGCGCGTATATGAAAGTGACATGGGTTGTCAGTATGCAGGCTGGCTTAAATGACCCTTGATGAAAAAGTTATTTGAAGATACCCTTGTGAACAATTTTGTCTAAATGTTTCTAAATGTGAGGACTTCTATCTTGTTCATGCAAGGTGTCTATTCTTGTACACAGAGATTTGATAGATAAATAAGTAGGGCTCAGTAAATTAATAATGTTGCATGTGAAAATTTAATTCCGTACTGTGACTTAACATTTTTAGAGCCCAAGTCATAAATTTAGAAAGTTTTCTTATCTCTCTGTGGAAACTTAGTCTCCGTATTACTATGTGCAGTTGTTAGTTTCTGCTCTTCTGTCCTTCCTCCCTGTAATATCAACTCCAATAGGTATTGATAATTTGCTTTTCCCTAGACTCAAAACATTTGAGTATTTTTTTTGTCTAATTCCCACATCGGGAAAATGATAATATATTCGATTATATTTGCTTCTTTCTGCTGAATACAAAGTCCTGGTAGACAGGTCTGGCCCTTACTGGCTGGATTGAAGCAGTCTGCCTCTTAAATGATATGAGTTGTGTTGACAGGGGAGTAGAACATAATTTAAAACCAATCCCCTCCAAATGTGAACATAAATATACAGTCAATCTCCTCTGAATGTGAACATAATTTATAATCAATCAACTCCAAATGTGAAGATAATTTACAATCAATCCCCTCTAAATGTGAACATAATTTACAATCAATCTCCTCTGAATGTAAACATAATTTACAATCAGTCAACTCCAAATGTGAACATAAATATACAATCATTCCCCTCCAAATGTGAACATAAATATACAATCAATCCCCTCCAAATGTGAACATAAATATACAATCAATCCCCTCCAAATGTGAACATAAATATACAATCAATCTCCTCCGAATGTGAACATAATTTACAACCAATCCCCTCCAAATATGAACATAATTTACAACCAATGCCCTCCAAATGTGAACATAATTTACAACCAATGCCCTCCAAATGTGAACATAATTTACTATCAATTCCTTCCAAATGTGGCTCTCGTTATACCCATCCACTTTTCTCAGACACCGGGATTCCTGATGCCTGTTCTTTGTTCTTGATGTTGATCTTTGTTTACTTCCCCAAGTTGTCACTTTTCACAATTGAACGGATTGTCACAATAATATCAAATTTTAACGAATAGTTTCGTTTCTGGGATATTTTGTTATGTCAAAGGAGTGTGACTCATTCCTTTGCTTCGATATTGTTTACTTAAAATGAACTATGAGAAATTTTGTTATATTGATAGAGTATGAATTCATTCATTTACTTCTATGATAATTCTTTTGAACATTTTTCTTCACTGTTATGTTTCCTTTTTGCTTTGCCTTCACAATTTTTATGTAAAAGTCGTCAACACAAAAAGTTTGAAATTGCATAATGTTGGTTTTGAACTATCATCTATGAGTGCGGTGTACTTTTTGATAACTTCTAACAATTTTATTCTAAAACTGTTTTGCCAAGTCATAGTGTGAATAGTTTATACTGGGATAAAATTTATTAAAAGTAGTCAGAAATATTGGATGAAGCTTTTAAACTTCAATGTAAAAAAGTTTTCATCTGATTTTATTTCATATGATGTTTGAATGGGCTGGTTGGGTAGGAATTTCGTGTTAATCTTGATTTATGGGAGCATTTAAGCCGTATCTTTTTTCAAGGCACCTACCTCTCTCAAAATGGGGGGGTTATATTTTGTTTCGGGGAGGAGGAAACTTTTGGAAATCTTATGAAATTTTGTTTTTATAGACCATTGACTGGGTATCAACTTTATAAAAGTTGTGCATTGTTCAGGCAAACATGTTCGCAGAGTTAATATTGATGAGCAATTTGTTACTTTTAACTTAGATTGTGTTAATTTGGGTCGACAAAGTGTCAGCTGTGATATTTTTGACTCCTTGCACAGTGGTGATATGATTTATGAGCTGCTTTTGAAGAAATTACAGTTGTATTTGTTTTCATTGTCTAGTTTATCTTTTTCCATTGGCGTGTTAATGACCTAATTAAAACTAATAGGCAGTGACTATGAGACAGTGAGTAAATAAATGAATAAACGTAGCAACTCAAATGAAAGACATTGGAAGGATAAAGTCGTCGTCTATAAGTATTTGAAAAATTGAGAGTTTATTTGATATTTCGTGAACAAGTTTTACCACCAGTGACAGTCTTTACTATTGTTATTACAGTTCCAAATCACATGGCTTTTTCTGCTGTCTCAGTTCTTACATATTATACTTCCTTTTTGTCAATATTATTTTTACTTAGTTTTCTTTTTGTGTGGCCATATAATTTTACATCTTTGTTATTTTATTTTCTTTGTTGTGGTTTACCCTCACAATTCTACGGCAAATCATCACTTTGAAAAATTATTTTCTTGCCACCTTGCTAGTACTTTTCTCAGTATTAGTTTGTCTTTTCTTAGGACTTAGTATGTTTTGTTGTATTTCCCACTATTTTATCAGCTTAAGAAGAACTTTCGTAAGAACAGTATAGAATATTGTGATGTAGTTAGACATTTAAAACAAAGGTTTTTATCTGAAGATGCCAATAAAATACTGATCTATGAATAACCTGCATGGTGAAGTCCAAAGTCATAAAAATGCTGAGAATATAGGAACACCATGAGTAAAGACCTTATTAGTTTATTGTCTCTCTATTTTCGGGGAAAAAAAGGGAAATCAATATCTTTTCTTTTATGTAGGAATTTGCAGTCACATGTTTTTTTTAGCTGTTTTCTTCTCCCTCTGTGTTCTTTGCCTTGTGCATATCTATGATTATGTAGTTTTACCAGTTGTGTTAAAGACTTTATTCTATTTTTCAATAGTTTTAGTTTTGTTCAGTGTCTTCTGTTTGTGCCATTTTATATCAATATTCATATTAGAAGAAAGACAACTGATTTTCTCTGCGCAATCTATATTGCCTTACTTTATTATAATATTAGGTCAACATTTCAAATTTAATGTCTTGAATTCTCACTTTTGTTGCTGGCCATGCTGATAGCTTTGTGGGTGTCATACTATCATGGGGATGGCTCTGGTTTGAATCCCAATTAGAGCATTTTTTAACTTGGGTTATATGTGGTATTCTCAAGACTCTCCACCCCATTAGTGGGTGGTTGGCGGGTGCTCTGGTGTAGTTTGCTTCTTCTTTCTTATTAAACATCTGTCGTCCTTATCTCTCCTCCTCCTTTTTTGTGTTTGTTACTCTCTTGTAACACCTCTATTCTTCCTCACTTATATGACCTTATTGTGTTGCAAGTGCCGTGAAACTCTTATTAAAACTAAAACTAAACCTCCCCATTAGTTTAGTTATTTCAGAAATAGATGTAACATCAGAGGTCCTGCCTCTCTAAACAGCTTTACTATGTTTATGTGGGTGGTTGGCAGGTGCTGTGGTGTGGTTTGCTCCTTCTTTCCTATATGGAACAGCTATCTTCCTTATCTCTTCTGTTCCTTTTCTTTGTATGTTACTATCTATTAACACCTCTAATCTTCGACACTTGTGTGATTTACATGTATTTGTGTTGCATATTGCTGTAAGACTCTTACGAAAACCAAAAAATCCCCCAAAACTGCTATCTTTATAGGGGCATTATAAGTTTAATTCCATCAGCGCATAATATTAGTACATGCCATAATATTAGAAGTTGTCTTTATATTCCTTTGTAAACGTCATTGCATGTTTGTCGCAGCTCTCATGGATGAGTTGGGCATCAGCGACGTGGATGACATCAGCGAGATGTCGGACTCGGCCCCCGCCCTGCCTGCCTCGCCACCTCCTAAGGCGACCAATCCGAGCCCTGGGGTAGACGAGTGGGACTCTTCTGCTGTCTCCGACATCATGACCACGCCCAGGCCTGGCATACTCAAGAAGTGGGGAAATGTAAGGGCAAGCCAGTTTGTTGGCTCTAGTTTTTTCTAGAAATGCACATAGCAAGAATGCACAAAGCAAAACACACCCATAGTTAACCTATTTTCAGGTCCTAAATTTTTCTTTAACCTGTTGACCACCCCCCACGGCGGTGCTACTGACTGAAGTGTCTTTAGGCCATTCCCAAAGGGGGGACACCTAGCCTTCTCGGACAAGGATGAAAAATCTCGGAGGGCCCGTGTGCAAGTTGCGCACGTTAAAGATCCTTTGGTGGTCTAAAATCGATTAGAGTAGGCTTCGACCGTCACCCGGGCAAAATTCAAAATTTCCTACCAACTAAAAATATTAGGTGTGTCCCGCGCGCTCATATGACCTTATGCAGTTGCGAGCGCCGTAAAACACTTTACAAAAACAAAAACAAAAAAACAAAAGAGGGGACATTAACATGTTTTTATGTACAGTAGAATTGTAAATGGGCTGATTTATCAATGTCATGCTCATAACTGTGCCTAAACTGCAACAGGGAACTGCTGCTTTTTCTTTCTCAATCCTTACTATCGTCATTTTGCCTCTACTTCTTTTGTATGTTTGTCGCACTATTGTGAACTGCTATTGCCGGGGTGCCTTGATACTTGAAGCAGACTTTGTGCTGTTGAAGCTAGAGAGGTGAGCAGAGTAAGCCTGATTCCCTGTATGGACTTCTCTGTTGACATCCACCCTTTGGCGCTCATATGACCTTATGCAGTTGCGAGGGACGTAAAAACTCTACTAAAATTTTTTTAAAAACTTGTTGACTGCTTGATGGGAAACTCAGTCATACACCATTTTAAAGAGTGACCTATGATGGAGTCTAACACTCTGCAGCCAATGTGTATTCTTTGTATTCAAAACACGCACATAGCAAAATTTGTACTTTACCAAAAGATTTCAGCGTTTTTCCGATGCCAAACTATTTGGATTTCTAAAACTAAGGAATGTTCTATCGAGCTGTATATTGTTTCTCCCCCCCCCCCCCTTTTTTTTTTAAAAAGCTGTGCTCGTTGATGAATACTGATAATACCTAAATGCTTTGGGGTTGGGGGTGGAGGCGTTAATGAAATGGTAATACAACAACACAATTGTTTTATGTGTTAGATATTGGTATGTGTTGAAAGTTTATTTCTTTTCCTTTTTCTTTGTATATCTCTCTGTTTATCGGCAGATCTCTTCTCTCTCTCTCTCTCTCTCTCTCTCTCTCTCTCTCTCTCTCTCTCTCTCTCTCTCTCTCTCTCTCTCTCTCTCTCTCTCTCTCTCTCTCTCTCTCTCTCTCTCTCTCTCTCTCTCTCTCTCTCTCTCTCTCTCTCTCTCTCTCTCTCTCTCTCTCTCTCTCTCTCTCTCTCTCTCTCTCTCCCTCTCTCTTCCCTCTCTCTCACAGGATCCTGAAGTCTTAAAGTTGTGATTACTAACTATAAATCCATCTTTCCCTTCTCCAGTCCAGCCTGCAGAGTTCGGGTGAAGGAAAACAGCAGCCAACATCACCCCAGCAGAAGCCAGCAGCACAGACAAAGACACTGATCAAAGCCCCTGCTGTAAGTGTATTTTCTATGTTCTCAATACCGTCGAAACTGTCCAAAACAGCTAACCATTGTCATGGAGTAAAATTGGTTACCCTAGACAGTTGTACGTCTTTTACTGTGTTATTATACTACAGAAAAAAACGCAAGTGTTTTGTTTTTACAGGTGATTTTCTTGGACAGGTGGCCGTTACAGCAGGTTCGACTGTAGCTGGACTTTGCTTATATGTACCAAAATAGAATTAAGCTTGTAAGCTGTGATCTCCTGAGCCTACATGACCTGTGCACCCCAGCCTCTTTCAGTTAACTGTTAGATTAACATCACTGCTTTCTGAGGCATGAGTTAGGTCTGCAGAAGGGTATTGGTCTATTTAGTTGAAGGGGAATGATGAGCAAAATAAGTCAGTGTCACAAGGCTTTTTTCTCACTTGTCTCAGTGTCAGGTGCGTGTAGTTGATGAAGTTGATGCTGTAGTTGCTGTTGTCTTATTCAATTGCTTGGAGAAATGTATCTGTTTTCATTTTGGTTAACTGTAAGCTGCATTTCAATTTTGTAGTAGTGCGTCATATAGCTTTGGCCTATTGGAGAACATCAGAAAATTTAAGTCATGTTTTTAATGGCAGTGAAATAGAAATGATGGATGGTTGGCAGGTGCTCTGATGTGCTTTGCTCCTTCTTTTCTATCAAACATCTGTTGTCCTTATCTCTTATTTTTCTTTTCTTACTGTGTTACTCTCTAGCAACACACCTAATCTTCGACACTTATATGAAGTACTTGTGTTGTAAGTGCTGTCTATTCTTCAGCACTAATCTGACTTACTTGTGTTGCAAGTGTTGTAAAACTCATACTATGGTTAAACTAAACAAAAATATTGGCTTTAATAAGGCTGTTTCATTATATTCTGGCTGTGTTCAGGTTGACTCTGGCGATGAGAGTAGTGCCTGGGACACGACAGAGGCAGAGAACATTGGTGCTAGGTCCAAGCCTGGTCCTTCTGCGTCAGCAACCGCTGCCCCAGGCCCTCCACAGCACAAGGACAGTGTAAGTGATGTCGAATATTTTTTTTGGGGTGTAAATATAGACATTTTTTTATGCCCCCACCGACATAATTTAGATTAATTTAGAAGGTGGGCTTCAGACCCTACCGGTCAGATCCGACCTGGACTGAGAGGGATACAACCTCTCAGCAGAAAGGTCGAGGTACTCGATAAAATTCTCCCCACTATGAAATCAAACTTGTGTCTCCTGTCTGTGACGGCAAAGTGTCTAACTGCTACACCACAGATGCCGATGTGATGTCTCTGAGATGTATGAATGATGAAAGGTAAAGAAAAGTTGATAGGTGAAAAGATGGATAGATAGATGAATAAAAGTGTGTGTGGGGGGGAGTTGGGGGGGGGGGGGGGAGGAGGAAAGGGGGAAAAGTGTGTGTGTGTGTCATGGGGGGGGTAAGAGACAAAGGGAGGAAGCCTTTGTAAGATCAGTGTGCTTTCCTGCTGTTCCTAGTGGGAGGAAGAAAGGTGCAGGTTGATGAAAAGACATTCAGAGGGAGAGAGTGGCCGACAAGTAGATAATAAGACAGAGGATGTGATATGGACAAACAGCAAGAATAGGAGAAAGAAAGACTGATTAGTGGGTAAATGAGGAGAGAGGGAGAAAGAGGTATTTAGATGGAAAGAGAGTGAGAGAAGTTTTATGAAAGAGAGAGGGGGGGGGTGGAGGAGAGAAAGGGAGAGAAAGAGAGGGGGGGATGAAGAGGAAGAGAGAAACAGAAGTAAAGGGGGGGGGGAGTGGGAGGAGGAGGAAAGGATAAAGAGAAAGAGAGCCAGACAAAGGAAAGGAGCCAATGTATAACTGGAGTACTTTGCTGCTGTTCTTAATTAGAGAAGTGGCTGACAGACTTACTGTATGTATTACTACCTCGAATTACAGAGTTCTATGTTACATTTTTGGCTGATTTAAGTTACTTAGACCATGATGTCAGAAACCAAATGCTCTACCGGCTCTATTAAAATCGTAGAGATATTCGGAGTCGTTGTCAAGATATTCAAAGAATTGCATTTGTAAAAGCTTGACATAATATTGTAAAACTAAAAAATTTTAATACTAATTTCTCAAAACTAGGTATTGAGTAGATAGAACGTTGTAATTCTGAGGTAAGGGTATATAAATTGATGACAACTGCACTGGCACTGGTGCAGAGGTACATGATATAGAAAGAGTTCTAGATGACATCTCTTTCTGTTTCCCCTTCAGGTGTCAGAATGGGACAGTGACCTTGAGGATTTGGTAAACCCAGTGACCCCTGCGGTGGCTGCAACCCCCACCCCTCCCCCGCCCAATGCTACCATCACCAAAGAGGTACAGGTTGCATTGTACCATTACTGTATGCTCTGTGTTGTGTTTTGGAATGGCGGAGTTTGCCACGGACAGTGCATATTTATCTCTCTGTGCTTGTCCGTTTGTATCTTTTGTGCTACATTCTTCTGCTTGACTTTGGACCCTTATCAATTCAATTTTAACCACCATCTTGAACTTAGTGTTGGCATTTTCTTTTGTTATCTTATAAAACAAGAACTTTCCTGTCAGCATTCCATTGCTGGTGTGAGAATAACAATTTCAGTGAGAATGTCTCAAAGATGTTTTGCATTTGTGAGCATAACTGGTTTTTTTCAGGAAAAAACCTCAACGTGCTATTTTTTTTGTTTCAGTTTAAATGCCAATAGGCTGCTTAGTAATGTCAGTCATTCAGATCAGATGTTGGTGGTGCTCTATAGTGTCAACAATGGGGCATATGGCATTTTTTTGATTAGTGAAGGAAGAAGAAGAGAAGAGAATCTATTCGTTTTGCTATTCCCAGTTGAATGCTTGCCCATGTTCTGTGTTTCTTGTTTTGGGCTAAGATGTCATGCTAACCATAGATATTACTGTCTTGCCTCAATATTGCGTGGTTTTTAGACATTTGTATCGACATTACACATCAAACTTAATACCTGAAAGATATACTCAATTGTACTTATATCAACACAATCAAAATTGCGGAAAATTCTCTGAGAATTTGCTGAATCAAACAAGTTTTGGCCTCTCAAGGAAAACGTCTATCTTGAACAAAAGACAGTATCAATTTCGGGTCAGCAAAGTTATGTGTTGTGATCCCAGTTTACTTTGATTATGCTCAATTTTGTGTTATAGCAGGCACAGCATGTCATGTCTGTGTGAATCAGTCCTAGGTCAGTTGTTTTTCACTGGACGGTGTACATGTAACTGTGTTAGGGAGATTTTTTTTTTAATCTGGAAATTTGAGAGTTCAATGCTGCTTAAAAAGGCTGGTCCTAATATTTTTTTGTTGCTGTTGCCTTTGATGTATATGTGGTGCACTTTGTATTTGTATGTTGAAGTTTTATTTTGTGAAATTATTTATTATCAGTCACTGTAGTGACTGTGTAACCAAACCTTTGCTGTGGGGACCATGTTTTTATATGGCATGAGGGAGGTTTTTGTGTGGTTGAACTGCTTTTTGTGCGCTGGGAATGGAGTAAGTACTCACAAAAGCTTTGACAGTTGCTAATGCTGGCCTCTCTTGTCTACAACACTGGGCTTGCACGCGCCAGGTTGAAGCAATTGTCCGGCAGAAACAGGCCGAGTGCCAGGATTCGGAGGACGAAGGGTCTGTCTCGTCGCCTCGGTCGCCACTAGGCAGGAAGGAGCCGGGCAGCCCCCTAGTCTCGCAGACCATAGGCCAGTCAGCCAAATTCTATATGGTACTTGCTCTTTCTCCTTAGTGTGTGCTGAGTGGTTAACCCTTCAAATTTAATTTTAAAGACTTTGACATTTACCCTTCAGATTTCTATTTCCCTCATTAATCTTGTAAGGTGCTACTTTCTATCTATAGCCTGATGTTTAACACCTCAAATTTCTGTTTCTCTGTGTGTCAGTAGCTTCTACTCCGCAGAAAGAGTTTAAAAGTTTAACTCTTTAAGCGTTCCTGTCTTTCTTTCTTCATGCCTTTTTTTATAACAGGAAAACAAAATTCTTCATAATAAACTTTGCATGGATTAGACATTATGATTCCCTCCTTTTGTTAAGAAATTACCTTTTGCTATCCTGATCGAGTCAGCTTTTCATTTTAAATCACGGCGTCACTTTTCGCCCGATTCTCTTACTTTTAGTTCGCATGACTCAGCAACCCACCGGAGCTCCCCGGCTCGGGGTCCCGGGGTTAATAAGCCCTGAAGCGACTTTGCCGGTGTCGGTTAGGAAGTTCGCATTTTTGACTATGTTTAAAACAATATAACTTCTTTCCCATCCCACATAGCAAACCATTACGCGGATGTACTAAAAGCTCAATGTCTTGAGATTTATTCTGCGTTAGAATGGTTAATTTCTGTGCCTTAGTTTTTGGTCTAGACAAGTGTTTGTAGAGTACCCAATTTGTCCTATTTTAGTTACAAACTTATGAATAAATGATTGTTAATTTTAAAAAGGCATGCCAGATCTCTCCAAAATCTATGTTAAACAGACAACGAATATCATGTCTTTTACAATGAGAAATCTTAAATCTGCGCGAGTAGAAATAGTCAAGTTATAAGAGAAGAAAGATGCACATCTGCATTTTTTAACTAAAGATGATCAGCGTTAGCTCTTATTTTACTATTAAACAAGAAAAAGTTACTCTGCGTTTGTTCATGAATGATGCTGTGTCTGTGGCAGCCTGCATACAACTAAAAAGATATAATATAAAATCTAATCGATTAAAAAAACCCACAAAACCGTGTAAATACATGGGTAGAGATAAACTTCTTGTTTGGAATAAAAATAATGCCAGCTAACACATTTGTTTTTAGTTTTTGTGTCAGAAATATGCGCGGACACAATTATGAATGTAAAGAAATCAGTCACATTGTCAGTTATTGCAAAAGGTCATAGAAATGAAAAATAAAGCTGGAAAAGTCTGGTGCTTATTCAGTGTCCCTGGGAAGCTAGAAATTATTCTTATAACCCAATTACGAGAAGTCATCCCTATTATTCAGTCAACTTACAAAACCTAGACTTAGCGTTAAGAAAAGTAAGGAATTTCTGGAGTGTAACAGATGCTGTTCGTGTATTAGATCTACATTGAAAATGTATTCTAGCTCAAAAATCGATTTGTACTTTTCATAGAGAAACTCCATGGTGACTTTTATAAACTTTCGAGAAAATATGCGAATATTCACGATTATATTAGACACATAAAGTTGTATTTGGAGGAATTACTTCATAGCGAATTGTGTGCCCGATGGATAAAGTTGCAAAATTACAGCTTTCTATTATATGTGCAGATACCATCTTTTCTGAGTATCTACACCAATGCTATGTCCTTCATGTTCCAAAAGTACGACAGATTTTGACGAGGCCTTTTTTTTATATTGATTTTTTAAATTCACGCTAGTCCCAAAAAATTACAATTTAGCATTGCCGACTCCAGCGCGTCTAACGAAATAACCAGACAAGTTACAACGTCCATTCCTTTTTGAGTCTCAAGAGCAGAAATGCATGCTTTGGGTGCACTAAATGAGAATTACCATAAATACAAGGATACACCTTAAATTGTACGTTGAAAAGTACCAAAAATTAAGTCGGCCCAGACAGAGCGGCGACAGGGAGCTGACCCCCTTGACCCCGACATGATAAGGCGCCCGGCGGGGAACCCCCCGCGACAACTAAAATTCCACTGCCAGTGCGCGGTGAAATGGGAAACAAGCATTTCAGCTTTCTTATTTTCATTAATTCACACTGATGTAATGTTGAAATCCAGACCATTGAAAGACAGCTGTCATTTCATAGCTGTAACAGCTTTTGCGCATTTTTGTGACTTCCGTTATAGAAATTAATTACTTTTTTAATAAAATATATTCATTGACAGACTTGTGTTTCTGTTGAAGTTATCCTGTAATATCTGCTAATTTCCTGTCTTGAGCTGATGCTGATATGAGTGCTGCTTTTTTACCCTAATGTCTTGCTGATACTTTTTCACGATTATCCTGTGATGCGCGAATTGGTTATGAGCGGCTCATGGGTTTTCAATGAGTCAATGCAAATTATATGGCTGAGTCGATTTATTACAACAAGCACAGCATTTAATTTTTAGCAATAATTCAATAAGAAAATTATACCACTTGTTCCATCATATTTTGGGATGCCCTAATAGCTCAGTTGGCATCATGCTTGTTTTTAATGTGACTGACCCAGGTTTTAATCCTGAAAAGGATGGTCTTTTAGCTTGGGTTGCTTGGGCAGTTTTCAAGGCTCTCTTCCCACTTGGCTTAGAAATGTGGAAATACATGTATAGTGTTTATTGGGGTATTGAACCTATTCCATCCTGTGTTGTGCCATATGGTTGAGTCTAGTGCTTGTCAACACAGCATTTCATTTTGAACGACAATGCAGTTACAAGTACATACCTCTCCGTCCATGGTACATCCATCGTATTTTTGTCTGTGTATGTAGCAACAGAAATGTGGTTTCTTTGGAGACTGCTAAGAGCATCGTGGAAGGAAAAGAAATCAAATGAGGTAGTGCTTGATGAAACCCACGTGGGAAGCTCAATGTTAAAAACAATCAGGAAACGACAAATGCAGTTTTTGGGACACCTGAATAGACATAAGGGTCTTGAACATCTAGCTCTCACTGGCAAAATTGAGGGTAAGCGAGGCAGGGGTAGGCCCAGAACAACATACTCAGGGAACCTAAACAAATGGGTAACAGGGAAGGATCAGGGAAAGTAGCTTTTTTGAGAGCATCCGAGCAAAGGAATGAATGGTAAACCATGATCGCCGATGTCTGTCGCAAATCTAGCACTGGATGATGATGATGATGTTTTGGGTGTGTTTTAAAAAAATGAGAATACTAGAAGCTGCTGTCATTATCCATTGCATGTCTGTCTGATATATTAGAACCTGTGTGGGTATACTATGCTCTCAGTTTTTCATGAACAACACTTGCATGTTGTTTTTGTTACTACACTACGATGTACTTTTCACTAACAAATAGTCCCACTGAATATCAGTAGGAGGGGCAGCCCCTCAAATAGTAGAACTTCGGGTTCAATACTCAGATGTACGTGTGCCATGTTTCTTTTGTAAATCAACGATCTCATATTTCCTTTCATCTTCAGTGCTATAAATTGTTGTATCACCTCATCGCAACTTTTCCTATACTGTTTTTCTGTGATACTATTCTTTGTAACACAAGTGTGTGAAATCAGTCTAAAAGTCTTGTTTCATATTGTGGGGACTACAAAGTGCCCCCCTACACCCCCCCGCCAAATTAAAAAAGAAAAGTCTTTAATGAAAGATGGTCAGATTTTTGCCTTGAACAAAGCATATATTATAGATTTATGAGATTCAAGTGTCACAAGATGTTAGGGGCAACATGAAAGAGGATATTCATGTGAATTTCCTTTTTTTTTTTGTGCTTTGAAATAAAAGAAATGACATATAGGTGAATGCAGTGCAAACCATGCAATTGAGTGTGTTGTGAGTGTCAGTATGTAACATAATAAATGGCAAGAAAGTCTCTTTCCTGCTGTGGAAGGTGTTTGCTGTGGGGAAAAATTTAGATTTTTGTAATATAATAGTATCAGATGTAGTGGATTATAATGCTCATGTGTTGAACTGCCTGCCTTTTAAATGATCTAAATTGTGTCAGTGGGGACGTAAAAAAACACCTGAATGTAAAAAAGAAAGTCATTTTAATGACTGTGCTCTCAGCAGGGTTCCAGCAGCAGCAACGACACATCAAATGCTGAAGGGGTTAGTGAAAGTTTTCTCCTGTCTTGTCGCACGCACTCTCACCACTGTCACAGTTGCCGTGGGAAATATTAACAAACATAGGGTTTTCTGCCTTTGATTGATGATATGTATGTATGTGTGTGTGTGTGTGTGTGTGTGACTAAGAGTGAAGAACCACTGATGTACTAAGAGTGAAGAACCACTGATGTCTACTTTTTACGAATTGGGAAAAATTGAAATTTTTGCCTTGGAGACTCATGTTCTCCCTTCTTACCACCCTTTTAAACGTGATAATTATATCTCAAGACTTTAGCAGGTTTGCGTGCAATATTTTTACGATAAATAACCGTTGCCCACAGCAACATCCCATTGGGAAAACGAAATTATACAAATTGGATTTTTGTACTTTCCCCACCCCCCCCCCCCCCCCGTTAGTTTTCATATGTATATTATGTATCTTAACTGAGTTTAGTTTTAGTAAGAGTTTTACCGCTCTTGCAACACAAATAGGTCATATAAGTGCCGAAGATTAAAGGTGTTACTAGAAGGTAACATACAGAGGAAAGGAGAAGAGATACAGACTATAGATGCTGGATTGGAAAGAACAAGTAAATCACACCAGAGCACCTGCCAACCACCAGCGATGTATATGTGGTGTATATTATATATGCATAATATGAAATTCACCGAGGATAGAACTCAAACTTTTGACTTGAACTGAAAATGCTTTCATGATCGGATTTTTAGCATAATTTTTTTTTTAATGCCGTGACCGTAGGATGTTAAGTTTCACACACTTTTACCATACCAATGACTATTGCCTGCCTTAATGACTATGATTATATGTAGAATTCAAGGACCTTGTTCTTTTGACACCCTCGATTAAGTTGATGCACGACCATGAGGTTAAAAGTTTCACCCAATTTTGCTGTGCTCAACTGCAGATGTAGCATCCTTTTCACCACTGTGTGTGGGTGGGTGTGTATGTGGGTGTGTGTGTGTATTGATGTGTGTGTGTGCGTGTGTGTGTGTGTGTGTGTGTGTGAGAGAGAGATCACAATATTTTTTCTTTGACACATACAATAAGATTAGCAGTAAGTATTTCATTTAATGTGTGTGTGTGTGGGGGGGGATGAAGTTCATTTCATTTAATTTTATTAAGGATTATTTGGGTCCAAGTTGGTTTGAAAGCTGGCCTTAATCAGAACTGAATCCCTAAATGTAACAGTGACTTGGCTTTTGATTACCTTGTAAAACGATGATTTTGAATTATTTTTTTTTTAGATAACACAAGAATGGAAATCAACATTTCTTGGAATGTATAAATCTAAGTGGAGATCATGCAGTCTGCGCTTTAAAAAATAGATTTACTCCCTTTTGTTCCAAAGTCTACAAAACTTTTTGAGCGATGAACTGACTATGTTGTATCTCATTTGTCGTGTGTGGTGACGCACTGTGGAGTTTGTCTGTATCTCTTGAGTTCTGCATTGTGATTGAAAGTTTGATCTTTTGTTATGTGGCAGTAATGTGCTGATGTTCTTTTTTTTTAGTAACGTATATTTTGTCATTCCCTATTGTCTTCATGGAAATTATATCGACAGCTTAATGTCAGACTCCATCATATGCCATTTTGAATAATGACAAATGATGATGGAGTTTCACATTAAGCAGTTTATATGGCTGGGTGGTTGGCGGGTGCTCTGGTGTGGTTTGCTTCTTCTTTCCTAACAAATGTCTATCGTCCATATCTCCCCTTTTTCTTTTTTATGTTTGTTACTCACTTGCAACACCTCTAATCATCGGCACTTATATAACCTTATTGTGTTGCAAGTGCCATAAAACACTTACTAAAACTAAAACTAAAAGACTCCATCATATGCCATTTTGAAAATTGACAAATGATAGTGGAGTCTTACACTAAGCATTTATAAGAACATTTTGGAAATGAGCTGAGTTACACCAGTTAGGATCATACTGGACTGCGGTACTTATGACCCTGGTTCAAATCCCGTATGGGATGGAACTGAACTTTTGATTATTCGGGGAATTTCAATGGATTTCTCCCACTATGCTCTGTCCTGTTGGAGATGGACATTACATTCTTTAAAATCATCCTTCCTATGCTTAAAAGGGCATTATACCCTTACCGTAACACACTGGAAGTCAATGATGTCTTTTCAAGGCTAGCGTTCTCATATGCTTAAGTCTCAGATTCTAGAAGTTAAGTAGTTTCAGAAGGTTTTACGGCTCCCCTCCCTTTTGGGGTTGTCCTAAGTGTTGAATTGTCCTACAAATTTTTAATTGTTTGAAAACAAATTTGTACTGACTCTGTCATGTATTTTTTTCGTATAATGTATTATTATTATTTTTAGAAGATCTATTCATTTTCCTGACCGGAGCTACGCTAGCATTTCTTTTACAAGCTTAAATGGTTTAAGACATGAATACGTAGTACCATCGTATCATCGCAATGGCACAACCTGATAATAATCATTTGTTATTAGTTTCATATATTGGCACACAAACATACAAACACACACACACACACACACACACACACACACACACACACACACACACACACACAGAAACACACACTCGCACACAAGCACACACACACACACATACACACACACACACACACACACACACACACAGAGAAACCCACACTCGCACACAAGCACACACACACACACTCACACACAAATTTCCAAAGTCTGATCACACCTGTTTTTGGATTTCCTATCTAGCTGGCTACTGAAAGTAGTGCTTCGCTGCCAGATCTAATAAAGCTATTTTCTCGTTCATCATTTCTGCAGAATAATGCTAATGATGAAGATGCTGATGACGATGACTGGGACTCGACAACTGACGCTATAACTCCCAGACAGAATGCTGGTCTGCAGTATAAAGAGGTAAGGGGATCACTCGTTGACATCGTGGTAGACACAATTTTGTCATTGCAGACGATAGTGTTTGCGCTGTACTGGTCAATATTTTATGTCCTTTAATGGGGGTGTATGTGACCTATTTGTTTCTTTGAAAGGATCCGTCGTGCGGTGTGTGAAATGAACTCTTTGCTTCTTTAAGGTGGCTTGTTTTGAGCCTTAAAACATAACCTGTTGGTGCCCTTAGAATGATCAAGTTGTATCCTTGAAAAAGCCTTTAAAATGATCTTCTTGTGACATTGGAAGGACATAATTTCTGTCTCTATAGAATTTACGGAATTTTGCCTTTAAAATGGCTTATCTGTGATGTACCTTGTAGAACCGGTCCCCCACCCATCTTCCCCTTTCTCCAGGTGAATGTGTGGGTGGAAGCGGAAGCATTGTGGGTGTGCTCTGGTGTGGTTTGCTTCTTCTTTCCTATCAAACATCTATCATCCTTATCTCTCTTCCTTCTTTTTTGTGTTTTTTACTCTCTTGTAACACCTCTAATCTTAGGCATTTATATGACCTTATTGTGTTGCAAGTGCAGTAAAAAACTTACTAAAACTAAAAACTAAACCAGGTGAACGTAGGTGGTCCCTCCAGCATATCTGAGCCACTTGTTCCTGTACAAGCCGCTCCTGTAGCCCAGCCTGTGCCTGAGTCTGCAGTGACAGCGTCTGCAGTAGCGGCTCAAGCTCAAGGTCAAGGAGGAGGAGGAATGATGGCCGCTGATGATGAAGACACGGAGAGTGCATGGGATTCTGATGTGAGTGTTGGTCTTTGCGCTCTACAAAATGTCTTGAGATATTTGAAACAATCTGTAGGTTGTTTAACTCTTTATCTCTGTGGGGGGTAAACCCACCATGCTGAGGCCCCTTTTTGGTACTAAATCTAAAAATGACGAAATCGTCACTAAACTGGTAATTAAATCAAAACAAGTGAACCTATTTCGATATTTCTTCATCTAATGAATGAAATCCCGATTAAAGAAACCTGTTTTCGGCAATTGCGGAAAAGCAATTTGATGTAGAAGTCGTAAAAAAATGTGCCCAAGTCGCTGTCAGCAGCTCACCTTCACAGCAGTTCCGACCCCGAACCGCTGGGAGAGGCTTGCTGGAGATAAAGAGTTAAGGACTATGTGAAACATTTTCATGTTTAAAGTCCAATGCAATCAGGAACAGCATTAATTAGCTAACAGTGAACGGGATATTTGCTTTCGTAAACTAACTTCCTCCAGCACTTTCATGTTCTCTGGACTTAGTTGATGTAATGTATGCCAAGTTGGCGCATTTACCATTGGTACAAGGTGAGGAGACTGGGGTTTAAGGAATATCAATGCCGCTATTTTTGTTTGTTTGTTTTGTTAAGTAACGGAGAAGCAATTTGAAATGATGATAGTCTTAAACTGCTGTAGAAAAGTAGTACAGATGATTGGAACAACAGAATAGTAGCTGCAGCAGCAGCAACAGCAGTAGCAATAGTAATAGTAGTAGCAGCAATAGTAGTAGTATCAGCAATAGTAGTAGCAGCAGCAGCAGCAGCAGCAATAGTAGTAAAAGTAGTAGCAGAAGTAGCAGCAATAGTAGTTGTAGTGGTAAACAGCAGCAGCTGTAGTGAAGAAGAAAAACAAGAATTTGCTGCAGCTGGACAATGTGATTGGCCTGCGTTTTATGTTTTGTGATGACAGAGTTCATGTGCATCACGACATGGAGGCGCTGGTCAATTTTTGGACTTGAGAAGTTATTGGTATCATCTTAAAATTTCTTCAGTTGCCTTGCTCTTGATGCCCCCCCCCCTCCTCCACTATATTGATTAGAGGTTGAGTTATTTGTAATTGAAGGAGGGGGGGGGGGTCACCTGATGTCGGAGGTAAAGTATGGCCGCCAAAGTTTGGTGACTTCCAAAACTTTAAGTGTCCTTGGAATATGAAACTGCATATATGTACACTTTTTATGCCTTTCATCAATGTGTGTCACACCTATGAATATGTTTTTAATGTGGTCATAAAGGTTCAGAGCTGGAAAAAAAAATTGATAAAAATTGCCCAAGAGAAAAATGCTGCTGTCTTTGATTTCATTAATTTGACGGCCACCTGGTTTTTCCATAAGATAAGATCAGATAAAATACATCTTTATTGTCCAGTTCCTGGCACATTGAATTGGTGTTTCACCACGTACAAAAACACACACACATACACACACACACATACACACACACACACACACACACACACACACACACACACACACACACACACACTTCATCCCTTCTGCTGGGATCAACGACAAACACTCTCCCACAGACTGACTTTAGAAATAAAGTAAAAAAGTACACTTCCAGTCTGTGGGAGAGCCACTGGGAAAAACAAAAAAACAATAAACTATATGTTATAAAACCCAAACTAGAACAGCGAAATCCTTCGGACCTCTCCAGAAGAGACGAAGTCATTTTTACTCGATTGCGCATCGGACACACGGCCCTGACACATAAATACCTCCTACAGGGGAAGAGAAGCCGTTCTGTGTCGGATGCGACATAGATTTTACCATTAGACACATCTTAACCGAATGTCTAGACTTTGGAGAGATCCGAAGGAAATATTATAAATGCAAGAAATTGCAAGACATTTTTTCCGTCCTTGTTCCCAGCAGAATTTTGAATTTTATAAAGGCCATTGGCCTTTATGGCAAATTGTAAAGTGAAATTGATACTGTTTAAAATGTTTATGTTAACTAGAAAAATTGTTTTAGATCGAAAATATATATATACATTTACACTGATTTTTAAACATTTAAACATTTTAAAGTCTAAAAGCTAACCAACTGTGCAGTGAACTGTTGCGAATGCAAACAACTTGTGTTTCGCTCGCTCATATGACCTTATGCAGTTGCGAGCGCAGTAAAACCCTATACTACTACTACTACTACTACTACACACACACACACAAGAACATGCACACAAATGCAGGCTTACAGTCACGTGCATAATAATAGTGAACAGTAATATAAACAATAATCTAAAGCTAGATACATACTCAGTATTCTGACTCAGTATAATGCGACACATATGGGAAATTAAAGTCTCTCTTTCTCTTTTTTTTCTTAATTTCTCTCATAGGGCGATGCTCTGCCATCAGAGAGCGCTGACCCTCCAGCATATGACGACCCCCCTCCCCCCTACCTGGCTACACCCCTTATCCCCACCGCTATAACCAGCCCCCGGACGTCACAGCTACAGGGAGCAGCTACTTCTGGCCAGCCAGCAGCTCAAGAGGGGAAAGTTCATGCAGGTGTAGGGGTGAAAGCTCAAGCCTCACCTGCCTTTGACTCTGATGAGGACTCAGAGACTGTCAGTTCATGGGAGCTGGAAAGAAAGAGACAGAGGGTGAGTATCTGTCATGTCTTCTTCTTTTTCATCACGGTCGCATCACGCTTTGATACCAGTATCTATTATATACTGGGCCGTGTATTTGTTGTTGAACCGTTTGTTTTGTTGTTGATCACAGGTCTTCGAAATATGAGGTGTGCTGACAAAATGAGTTAGTTCTCACAATCTATAAATGGAGATATTGGCCAAAAATCAACACAAGGGTCAAATTTGTAGATTTTCTAGTGGTGCCATATTCTTAAAGAATAATAAGCCTTTTATTATTTCATACTTATAAATTGTAAAAACTTCACCTGTAAGCGTGGTGTATCTATTTCCATAGGTCTCGAATCCGAGAAGTAACTCATTTTGTCAGCACCCTGCACCAATAGTTGTTTTGTTGCTTTCAAATATTGTAGAGAAAGTAAGTCACATTCCAATGTCCTCCTCTGTCTACTTATGGTTCTTTTCATCTATGCAACCATATGTCTAGGAGCCATAATAAAGTGTGAACATCGGCGCTACTGAAGATCTTGTTAGCTGTTTACTTTATGGATGAAATTGTCATGAGCCTCTGGTACTGACAGGCCTCTCTGGTGTGTGTTTTCAGAGCAAGCCTCAGACATCTGTTGACTTGAACTTTGGGAGCAGAACTGAGTCCCCCAACAGGCAGCGGGAGATAGAGGAGGATGCAATGAGACAGGAACAGAATGAATTGCAAGAGCGATTGAGAGAGCAGAAGCTAAGAGAAGAGGAGGAGAGAAGGAAGGAGAAGGAAGAGCAAAGGAAAAGAGAGGAGGAGGAGGAACAAAGACTGAGGGCAGAAGAAGTGAAAAGAGCGAGAGAAGAAGCGGAAAGAAAGGAGAGGGAGGAGGCTGAACGACAAGAGCAGCAGAGAAGAGAGTGGGAGAGGGAGGAGATGAGGAGGGAAGAGGAACGTCAGAGAGAGTGGGAGAGGGAGGAGGCTGAAAAGAAGGAGCGACAGAGAAGAGAAGCAGAGGAAATCATGGAGGTATGTGGTTGCGGTTTTTTAAAGTGACTTTTCAGCGTTTATGTTGAATTTATGAATTATTTTTTAATTCACCCAATTTTTCTTTTTCATTCCTTTTGTTTTTACTGTTTGTTTTATGGGAAATAATTCTTTTCCAAAGAATGTAGAAAGATGTATATTGAGTATGTTTACATGAGAAAGAGAGAGACATACAGACAGAATATCAGGGGTTTCATAGGCATTGTGGTAACATGAGATATTTGTTGACTTACAGGAGCTAATGTGTTAAGTGTTTGAGAATAATTTATTAACAGATTTCTGCTAGTCAATAAGTGCACATCTATAACATCAAATTTACTCCTACTTTTGGAAGTTTCCTATAAGAATGGAGATTACTTCAGTAAAAGATTGTTGCAAGAATGAACAGCAGAATGAGTTAATTTTTTAAAAACTGATACTTTTTAAAATGTGAACAAAGAAGTAGGCACACCGAATCCTATCGAATTGTACTTTTAGGAGCTCAGAAATGTACTGCTAGAATGCATAAAATTGGTTTATTTTAAGATAGTCGTGATTTGGACTTGTCGCTAATATCATTTCCCTTCCCCTCACTCCAACTGACCCCAATCCCGTGTACAGAGAGAGGAACTGGAGAGAAATGAACAAAGCATGGTGAGTTGTTCACTCTGACAAATAAACCACCTTTCCTACTTTATTTTTAGATGTACAGTGGAGTATGTTTAAACCGTAAGCTGCGGGACCACCAGATTTTCTTTGGTTTAATTGTGTTTTTTGTTTAGAGAGATTGCTCAAATACCAAAGAAAAAAAAATTGAGAATTCTATTCTTTTGATTTATTGCTGTTTTCAGATTAACCACGTTTAGTTTAAGCTGACTCTGCTGTATTTTTCTTTCCCGTGATATGTCTCTTTTGGTTCTACTCCGATGTTATATCAATTATTTTCAGGTTTTTTTTGTGTGTGTATAGCAGCAAAGAGCCTAACCTGTACATTACAGAGGCTGGTGGGCGTTATTCAAAAAGTCGTTATGGCATTGTATTGATATACTGAATAATTATGCTCCATCATATTTTTCAAATATGTTGAGTGGGTGGTTTTACGGGTGCTCTGGTGTTGTTTACTCCTTCTTTCCTATCAAAGTGGATGGTTGGCAGGTTCTCTGGTATGGTTTGCTCCTTATTTCCTATCAAACATCTATCGTCCTTATCTCCCCCTCCTTCTTTTTTATGTTTGTTACTCTCTTATAACACCTCTAATCTTCTGGCGCTCATATGACCTTATGCAGTTGCGAGCGCCGTAAAATCTCTACTAAAACTAACTTTCCTATCAAACTCCTATCTCTATTCTCTCCACTCCTCCTTTTTTGTGTATGTTACTCTCTTGTAACACCTCTAATCTTCGGCACTAATATGATGTTATTGTGTTGCAAGCGCCGTAAAATTCGTACTAAAACTTAACTAAAAAAATATGTTGAAACTACTTTCCAGCTCGCAGTTTGAATTTCATTAGCTGACAAAAGAAATTACTTTTACCATCAATGAAACTTTAAACAATGGTTGAAACGTCATTCACATTTCATGACCCCAAGATCTGGATGGAACACATTGCCTGGTTAGTTAAGGGAGATTGAATCATTTAATTCTTATCAAAGTCTGCTCAAGTTATTTTTGTTCTTAGAAATATGTACGAGTGGATTTTTAGTCTGAGCACAGTGTATTGTCTATGTGTTGTTACCAGTATATGTAAAGCGCTCAGAGCCTGTGTTTTTTAATTGGGGTAGAGTACTGTATAAATAGTAGTATCATCGTCATTATTATTATGTTTTCCTCCCCCAGAACCCAGTACACATGATGCCAGAACAGAATGGGATAATGTCTGCTCAGTGAGTACAAATCTTTGATTCCATGGGGGAAGGGGAAGGCGGGGGTGTTGATGCGTGTTCTTGTGTGGTCTGCCGGTCTGCCCCTTCTACATCTTGTTAGTGTTGTTACCATCTTAGTGTGTTCCCAGATTTCTTTTCCGTGTTACGGTACAATTGTCTTAACCTCACCAGTGGTTGGCAGATGCCCTGGAGGGGTTTAATTTGCTCCTTCTTTCCTATCAATCATCTATCGTCCTTTTTTGCGTTTGTTTCTATCTTGCAACAACTCTAATGTTCGGCACTTAAATAACGTAACATAATTGTGTTGCAAATGCTGTGAAATGTGAAATGCTTACTGAAACAAAACAAAACTGTTTGTCATTGTTGTTACCGTCTCATTGTGTTCCTGGGTTTCTTGTACGTTTTACTATTGTTTTAATCTTTTCACTGCTCTGTATATGTATGTGCTCGCTTGTGTTCTCCAAAACTGGTTCAGTGGATGGTTGGTGGGTGTTCTGGTGTTGTTTGCTCCTTCTTTCCTATCAAACATCTATCGTTCTTATCTCTCCTCCTTTTTTTTGTTTGTTACTCTCTTGTAAGTGGGTGGCTGGTGGGTGCTCTGGTGTGGTTTGCTCCTTCGATCTTTCCTATCAAACATCTATCGTTCTTATCTCTCCTCCTTTTATGCGTTTGTTACTCTCTTGTAACACCTCTAATCTGCTGCACTTATCTGACCTTATTGTGTTGCAAGTGTCGTAAAACACTTACTTTAACTAAAAAACTCTCTTGTAACACCCCTAATCCTTAATCTCTGGAAAGTAGCCGTTTGTACAGGTGGTTGTCTTATAAATACCTGTGGCCTTTAGAGAAAGTTCCATTGTACTTGTGCAATGTGTGCAGTCTAACTATTATTAGCATAATGGCACTCTTGTGCCGGAGGAAGCACACTACATTACCGTACATTGCATTATTGTAGAAGGGTCCTTGTTGTAGAGTCCTCGAAAACCCTGGCTAGGTGGTGAAGGAATTGTGTCAACATCTGACAGTGCTGTCCAGTCCAGGCCCGCACTGGTCAACACAATTAATATGTACGTTCCTCACTTCCTGGGGTAAGGACAAGGTGCAGGTGCAAGACCATATTATTACGTCATGCCCATTGGAATGTGGTTTGCGGGGGTGGGGGGATGGTGGGGGTGGAGCAGAGCGGCAGAAGCACACCTCTTGTCTTTTCAGGAGACTTTGCGTCAGTGGTGGGTTGTTTTTCGTCTCACTGGTGAGCACTTTCCCTTTCTTTTTGCGTCTCTCTCTCTCTCTCTCTCTCT